TGTTGCTGGAGAAGTAGCATGTGCCTGCCTGCATACATTCCCATCCAACCAAGCCTTTACAGAGATGTTTAAAAGTGTGGAGAAGCAACCCTGCTAGCATGGTAACTTTAAATGCATGTGCCCCACACATGACTTATTTGGCTAGCAGGTATTGCAATGAAACAAAGTTTTGCCAGCAGCTTGGGTTGACATAGTCTTTTTCCCATTAAATAGGTCACAATGTTGTTTTCTGATTTGTGCTCTTGTTTACCGGATTCTTACCCTGGCTGACAGATAGCCTGAAGGCACGATGTTGCAAAGGCTGGGATGGCTGGAGGTCTGATGGGAGATGTGTCCATCTTGCTGCAATGCCCCGTATCTCCCCAGAAGCCCCTGTACAGACAGACAGGAGGTGAGAGAGGTGAGGAGATGGGGTCAGGCCAAGCTGTGCTATGCAATTTGATGATTGTGCAATGCTGCGTTCCCAGGCAGAGACTTCAGCCACCGCAGCATTGCACTCCAGGGTCTCCCTGCACCAGACACCTCCCCTTATTTTACCAGAATGCATTGCTGTGGAGGAAATCAGATTTATGGTTATATTGGAAAAAATTGGGAGCAAACAAACAAACAAACAAACAACACCCTCCCCCCCCAAACCAAAACAAAAATAAACCAACAAAAACGGTGTGAAATTAGCATGTTTGTTTATCTTATAGAATGGTCAAATGAGAGAACCCTCACCTTCTTTCATGGGTGAATTGTACAGATTGTACCTCCAAGGGTGAGGAGGGACAAAAACAAGACCATCTCTCTCACCTCCCAGTGTCAAGTATGCTGACAGGAATAGAGGAAGAATTGTAAAACAGCCATACAAAGGAGGAATTTGGCAATGATCATTTTGAAATAAACCTGTTTGTGACAAGCAGTGACTGTGGCAATATTTACGCTATGATTCATACCAAAGTGCAGCACCTGCAGTTCTAGTCTGGGTGACTTTTAGGATAGAAACAGCAGCAAATAATATTCTGATGTTTAATAATGAGTGAGCAAGTGTCAAAGCTGCTCTTGGCTCTGGAACTGCATTAACTTAGAGCAGGACATCTGTAAGAGCTGGCTGCAAGCATCTTTACACTGCCAGGTGTATGTTACCTGTAACTGACTCACAACAGACTGAGGTTTGCACTCCTGCCTATCTCTCTGTACTCACTTGCACTCGCCTCTTTTATGTGACAGTTGCAATTACAAGAAACTCTTAGCTGGCATATGCCACATTAGAGCTCTTTGAGGATGCTCTCAGAAAGTCCCTTACACTTCCTCCCACTCCTTCTTGATGACAAGACTGAACTTTCTTACCTGTGTCTATGCTAAAGAGCCAGCAACACTTTCTGTCTGTGTCTGTAAGCTGCAGGCAGCTCCTGGAAGCCTCCTTTCAGAGACAGAGGCATGTTATTCTCTCAGTGCTACTGATAAACTGCTACAGCCAGGAAGACATCAGAGATTATTTGTATGCCTGGTTATTGATGCTGCCAAAAGGCAGCTTTTAGAAACTCATCGAATTCCAGGGGGCACCAAGGGCATGTTGTAACACTGCAAAAACAGCTTTTCCAAGGGAATCAAAAAGTCAGGTTCCTGTTTCTTTACAGAAACTCAGCTTCAGAATATGGGACTGTACTCCTTCTCTTGCCCTAATAATATTGATAAATACTTAGTGAAAAGCCTGGCTTATCTTAGCAGGGGAAAATGAGATCAGAAAAGGGGGTGTCTACAGATTACTCCCTCTAAGAAGATCTTTGCTTCCAACAAAATCTTCAACATTTGGATTTCTCAGTTTAGTCTTCAAAGGTATTTAGTGGGTTTTGCTTACATAAAATACTTACGCAGGGAAGTATCTTCACACAGACTGGTTGCATGACTCTTCTGCTTAGCACTACATGTTCTCTTAGTTTTTCCCTGTACTCAACTATTGAAGCTAGTTTTCAACAGTTTTAAAGAAAACACCCTTAAACATTTAAGCAGGAAAAAATAAGAAGAAGCCAGTTTTTAAAACAGAAAAAATAATAATCTAGAGCCTGAAAGAATTGCTGATGTGAAAAACCTGCTTACTTACATTTTGCCCTTCTCGCCTGTCTCTAATTTTCCACTTGAAAAAAATTCTTGTTATTTTTATTTCCATTTCAGGTTTATGTCTTTCAAGTCAATGCAAATGTATCTCATATCCTAGCTAGTGTATTCTTTTATTTGCTGGAGAGGTAGAAGTTGTACATCTGCATTTTGGAAACAGTTTTAAAGGCCACTGTTATCCACAGCAGCAGCAATGACAGACCCTTTGTCTGTCCTGAACTGGGCAGTTTTTCTCCACAGCACAGCACAGCACAGCACAGCACAGCACAGCACAGCACAGCACAGCACAGCACAGCACAGCACAGTCCTTTCTACTTACTTATTTTGATGGGTCTGTACATTTGCTTTATACATGAAGAGGAAATAATGCACAAATACAGATTTCCAAAGCCATGATAAATTAATGGGGTTTCCATACACAGTAAATAAAAGACAAAATATACATGTTAATAAAATTATAAATAGCTTTCTGTACTCCTTTTTATTACACATACTACTTAGAGACACAAAGACTCTGGAAGTTGTAAAAATTTATACCATCCTCCATTCACATGAAGTGTGACTTTCCCAATCTGTGCATCTTCCCCACAGTGCAGAAAACATCCTGGGACAGGGAGAAATGGGAGGAGGCTGCATCATTGATGAGTCTGCAGCTGATACTGCACAAAAAATACCCTCTTTCCCGCAAGCAGGTCAAATTGTGAGAAGTGGTGTAAGTTCTTGGGTAAGAAAACATGGAGAAAAGTTCACCCTAATCTACAGAAAGGGTTTAGTTGTGATACTACCATGACCAGCTGCAATACCTGGGAAACCCACCATACAAAAGCAATGCCTTAATCCTTGGTCACACTTGACCTGGTATCAAGGTCCAAGCTGACCTCTGCTCTTGCTCTCAGTGTGGTGCCTTTCTTGGAAGACTGGCCCTGGAGCTTGGCCCCTGCAGACAACAGGGACCACGTCCCAGCCACAGCATGGCAAACCATGTTGCTTTGCAGGGTGAAGAGCAAACAGATTAAATGAAGACCATTCTCAGAAGCAGGATCACAGAACATCCATTAAATTCACCAGGCTTTGTTCAAATACAGGAAGATGCTCTCTGACTCACTGACAGAACTAGCATGATTTTTTGGCTTGTTTTTTTAATGTTTTCCCAGACAGAGTGATGTAGATTCAGGTCTTGATACCACCAGTGGTATTGGGTGTGCAAGAAATGGAAAATTGAGTCTTGTTTTGTAACAGTACTTTGAATTTAAATTTAAACTTACTCATTATATTGGTTTAGGAAGCAACATTTGCAGCAGCTGCTGCCTATCTATGAAAGCATGCAGTTTTCCCCCTTTATTTTCAAACTGAAAGGAAAGCAATAAATCCAAAAGCCAATAGACTAAAAATATCTGATGGATATAATGAAAGAGATGAACGGGGACAGATGACACACAGATGAGTTTTGCTCAAAAATGTTTAATGGTGAGTAGTACCACATTTCTTCTTCATGTTCTGTGCCTTTTCATCCCCACCTCCATCTAGCCTCTCTCCTCCCAGTGCTTGTTTTGTCATAGCATGTAAAGCCCAAGTCCTATTGAGGTGGAGAGGTAATAGCTCACATCTGCACAGGCAAGAGCACAGCAAACTTTCTTTTCCTTTCTTCAGTACTAACCCTACCTTCAGCAACAGATGGACCAGAATTAGCTGTACCCAGAAGCTTGAGGAAAGAAAGGGCTGTGAATATCACTCTCAATTTGCTAGCAGGAGTAACCTAGTACTGGAGGGAGAGCAGTGAGTCAGGAAAGTCAGTCCCACAGTGCTGCATTTGTGGTGCTGTCCTCTTCAGAACAGGTGCAGTTGGTACTCAGGGATTGCTTTCCTGGTTAAACATTCTCCAGGGTACAGGCTTTCCCAGCTCACATCTGCTAGTGTTTCTGGATTTGGGATAGTTGCTGTTTCCCTGGAAGTGGGCACAGGACTGTTTTATTTGTTGCCAAGCGCCACTGGCATCTAGACAGTTTTACCAGAGCTTATGGAAATACTTTTAGCTAAAACAAATACCGAAGTCAAACCTTTACAGAGCTTGAAAGTATTTATGGGTGTGGTTTACCAAGCAATTCAGGCTGATTTGAACCAGGATTAGTGGTGAAAAAAGACATTCTGGCCCTTCCCTCTTCTGTCAATTCTCATTTCTGCTCTAAGCTGTAGCAGCAAGCTCACTGGGCTGCAAACAATGCCCTCAAAGCCAAGTGACAGCTTCCTGCTGGATGAGTGAGCTGAATTGGTTGAGCATGCCTGGTAGTAGTGTGAACCCAAAAGACTGCAAAGCAAGTGTGAACAGGACAGGTCTTCCCCTTTTAGTGCAACACAGTTTAAGAAACCCAGGAAAAATGGGTGATCAAAACTTACAGTGTTGAGACTAGAGTGCTGACTAATGGCAGAACCTAGTTAAAATCTCTTCTGTGGCAAGCCAGGCAGAGATTCACACCAACCAGAATGTAATACACCTAGCCTTACATATATACATATATAAACTCTCTATTATTCTCTCTCCATTTTTGCCAAAATATTCTGGACTAAAGTAAAACTAAAAGGTAGAAAAAAGCAAAACATGAGAAGCAGAGGAGTTGCTGCAATAGAGTACCTAACCCCTATCATCTGTCCTGACTTGAGCTATAAACACACATGCACTCTCACACACCAACCACCCTCCAAACAGGAGACGTCAGCCTTGGTCACATTTGTTGATCAGTTGCCAGCAGTCTCCTGATCAAAACACATGGATTAAGGCTTTGAACTGTGGCTATCAACCAAAAGAGCACCTGCTTCTCTCTGCCCCAAATGTGTAGTTACATTAGCTGCTGCATGCTTAGTTTTGTTTACTGTTTCCCACTAACTTCTAACCATGCTTCTTCCACAAGACAGCTTAGGTAACCTGAACACAGCATTTACTAAGCTGGCAGAACTTGGAAGACTCCCTCTTGCAATCAATCTAAAAGGACTCTGTCAGAACTGGACGTACAGGGCTCTCCAGGAAACCATACCAGAACATGCGCTGGCTTTAGAACAAGTGGCTTATCTTATTTTCAAGGTGCTTTGTTTATCCAGATGAACGAGGGCCTCCCTTTCCCAAGATTCTTTCTGCATCATGGGGAGTAATGAAGAGGACTTGTCATTGCCTCCAGCTGCCATTTAAAACTGTCTCTGCTCCCTGCAGAAAGCAGTGTAGATGTTTTCTAAAGGTGAGTGGCATTTTCTAGTCTGATTATTTCAACACTTAATTATTCCATTCCCACTCCCCAAAGTATTTTATTTACTTAGCTTGTTGGAGCTGGCAATCACAGGTAGGCTCCAGGGAGCAGAGTATAGGAGAAGCACATATAGCTTCCAAGATTAGAAACTGTCTCTGTAATTTGAATGCCCTGATGGATTAAAAGATGGAAGGAAGGACTATGGCTATTTATGATATAGCAAAGCTACATAGCTTGTGAAATATGTTCCTCGTGCAAGAACATCAACCTTTTTTTGACCCTAGCCTCTAATTTCAGTCCTTGGCATCTGAATACTACACCTTTGATCAACAGCTGCTAGTACATAATATCCCCAGCCATTCGACAAGGCTGAGAAGTCACTTCACATTTTTCTTCTTTTTCACATTCCCATTCTACCTTCATCACCAGTTTCCTTCTACAGAATTATTAGAAATAGCAGGAGATGAGAGAGAACATTGAATGAAGTCTCTTTCTTACTTATGGCTTAAACTGCAGCTCTCCTCTCCCCACAGGGGCATCCAGACCAGTCCCTTTGTCATGTTAACTATTGCATCTCTGCCCATCAGGAATAAGACAGTGCTGTTCCTGGCTGATGCTGGGAAATGTGGGGATATAACATGTTGTCTAAACTTGCCTCTACCATAGTACTATGGCTGTGGCTTTAAATACTTTTTACTGTATAACATGGTTTGGACAACATTTCTCATCTACAGTGGAACTAATTCAAACACTAATAGGAGGAAGGACATCCTCACAATTAAGCATGTGTCAGATGAAAACTAAGTGGCAGAGGCAGTTTAATAACCTTGCACCACACCCTGCCTGATGGGAACAGAGCACTCAAAAAATCCCTGTTGTTGGCAGTGTTAATAAAGGCCTTGTCTGAATTACAAGCATGACACAGTGTGTCTCCAGCTGGGATTTTTAAGTGTTGGGAAGCACCCTCTGGTCCACACTAGAGGAAACACTCCTACCAAGCAGAGGCGGCAGAAATCAGGCCCTCTCTTGGTGCAAAAGACTGTGCTCTTGGACAATGTTTACAATGGGCAATTCCAGCCCAATTTCTTAGTTGTCTTTTTTTCATAATATAGCTAAAATCACTTATACTACAAGATTTCCATACGTCGTTATGTTTTCTAGATTTGAAAAAGACAAATAAATTGACTTGGCAGGTTTAAAAGTGGAAATTGCAGAAAGAGAATACAAACAGCTTCTTCTTACAACTCAAATTACCATATTTGCAATTGCTCTGCTTCCCAAAATTAGCAAAATTCCCAAAATTAGCACTGTTTGCACACTTTACTTTTTGAGGTTAACCTCAGCACAGGCATAGAAGTATAAGCCCTTGAGTTGGCTGAGATTAGGTCTGCAGATCAATTTCTCCAAGCTACAAATGGAAATTGGCTTTAGCTCATGCAAAATGTGGCTCTGGGCCTGGTGGATGTTAATAATAAGGTTGCAGTGGCATAACAGTCTTCATACCTGCTGTGTATGTGTGGATGCAAGGCCCTAAATTCCTGTTAGGGAAGGTGGTCTTCCTTCACACTCTGCTGGTGGCAGGGAGAGGCAGGGCTGAGTACTGTCTGGCCAGGTTGTTCTCCCATGCCTCCCACATCTTGCCCAGGAGCACAGCTTTGGCAGGAAAACCCAGTTGCCCCAGCAGAAGGGTGTCATTCTGCCTTCCCCTCTGCAGTGGGAAGGTGTCAGGAAACACTGTCTGTGGGAGCCCCTCCTTCTCTTGGCCCTCATTCTCGACCGGTGCAGAGCACGGCAAGGTCCCTCCCCTACTGGAAACTTTGGGGTTAAGGGGAGTGGTTTATTTGGGTTTAATTTCCTGCCGGTGTTAAACCACCACAAATTCTGTCTGTTACGCAAGGGCACACTGAAGTTGTGACTCCACTGTGGTATCGCAATGTAGCTGTGTAACAAGGAGTTGTGGCTTCAGATTGACAGTGGGTTACAGGAGTTTTTTAATACCAGATTTTGAAACTAATTTTTCTAACAACAGAAACAATTTGCATATGACTTCACTTACCAGTCAAAGTACCAGCTGGCAAAGTCTCTCTTAGAAGATTATAGACAATTTCTGCCAAAGATTATGTTTTTCCATTGGAGAAAACTTTTCTTTTAGAGATTTAATTGAAACACATTAAAAACAATGTGCCTCAGAGACGATGATGATAAATATTTGCTGAAAACAAGTGGTTTCCAGCAATTTTATATAAATTGGCTTCACTTCTGGAAATGAAAAGGTGTTGTCCAATGAACTCTGAAAGAGGCAGGAATGTTTCCCTTAGTGCTTAATGCAGTAGTACAAGTACACACGAACATCAAACTTGAATTTAGTGAGACCCCTTTGTGATTATGAAGTCTGCTCCTGACCTCACTGGTGGAATGTGAAAAATGATTTAAGTCTAGCACACCATAAAGAGAAACATAAAAGAGTTGCACCTCTGTTGTCCTCACTAGATGCCATATTTTGGTATTTCCAGGTGTATCCATGGGAAATTCAGAGATCACATCCACACTGTGCAGCTGAATTTTGCTGGAGTTGGGAACATGGTTGAACTGATGGTAGAAAGAAGCCCTTGTAACCATCATGTTTATCTAACAAGCACCCTATGCACTCACTTTGACCTGTGCTCTCCTTCTGTGCAATGCCTGGTTCACCTGGTGCCACAGACAGTGTTTCACATGAGTGATGTAGCACTCTTTCCTGCAGTGTGCAATTTAAAGCAGAAAGGTGGGTCTGGTAAGGGAATTGTGAAAGTACTATGCTAGCACAAAAGACTAAACATTTAAATAACTGAACATCCTTACTGAAGATGGATGTATAAAACAAGGTAGAATTTCTCTCTGGCATGCTTTTCTTTGGTGGCTTTAGTAGTTCTGTAGAGCTTTCCTAGCCATGATAGTAAGAAATAGGACAACTGCATGGTGCTAAGTCACAGCTGAGGAAGTTGTTCTTCCTGTAACTCTACTTCACCTTCTGCTGAAAAATATTCTCCCTGTTTTGCTAAGTACAAACCAACAGCATGTCTTGGAGAATGAATGGCAAATGGGAAGTCACATGGTAGCTTTGTATTCATCCACTCATATCTGTCCTGTAGACCCAAACTGGCACCAGATTAGGTTCCTTTCTGTATTTTCCTGGGATGGCAGCAATAAGTGCTTTGCAAAACACTTCTCAGGCAGGTGTTATTACCTGGGATAAAAAGGCCTGGAAATCCTCCTCTTCTCAGTAGCATTTGTAAGCTTTGTGCCTTGATTAATTTCTCAAAGCCTACATGGAAACTATGCTAATCCATCAGTTTAAACATTCATGCAGCTCCTTTCTAAATCTCTATAAGCAGATTGATATGGCAGATGATGCCTTGAGCTTCCTCTGAAACCTGTACTGGTACCTGACTACCAGGTCTAGCAAGTGCAAGTGATATTTCCTTCTGTCTGTGAGCAACTGAGGAAATTCAGCCCATCCTATCTGATGCTAAGTTGGTTATGGTGATTTATCTCCTTCCATGTTTTCCAGGGTAATTGCTACAACATTCTCCAGCTGGCAACACAATCCCCAGGGGTCTGTAGAAAACTTTTATTTGAACTGCTCTAGTTGTAGAGGATGTTGGCTTATTTCTTAAGTATAAACAAATCTGAGTCTAATCCTAGCTATCAGGTGTTACTGGGAAACACTTCTGAAGAAATACCTTTCCTGTTTCTGCAGATACATACCTTAGGAATGATGAAATAATCCATCCTATAGGCTTACTCCTATATTATGTTTCTGTCCTAGAACTCACCTGGACCTACACTGGCTTTCATAAGCACTGACATATTGCCTTTGGCACAAAATTCCAGACTAGTGCCCTTTGTTTTTCCAGTAATAAAAGTTTTGGCTTAGCAGTAATTGATTTCACTCAGCACTCTGCAGAGTAGTTTTTTTTCTCACATTTGCAACCAATAGAAAGACCTAAAAATGATACAAAGTTATAGTGCTTTGTAGGTAAATTTAGTGTTCGCAGGAGTCACTGCTAACCTTCTTTCTGTGCTCCTTTTGCTCAGCTGATTGCTATGTCTATTTTGACTTGTGAGCAGTCCTGTGTAGGGGGTCTGAAAGTGAAGCTGATTCATCTTTCATGGGAAACAGACTAGTCAAACTATACTTCTTTGTGGCCAGGCTAAAAAAGTTGCTTTTGCAATGCAATGAGCAGCTCAAAAAGTGAAGCACAAGATGACTCAAAGTGTCATTCACATGCCGTCTTTTAACATCAGCAGTCTAGCCTCCCTAATGCAAGAGCCTTCCCCTCTCTCCCACGTTTCTCTGACAGCAGTTTTGAAAAGTACAACTTCTTCCTCCCCTCCCTGTGCACCACATGCTGATGTCTCACTCAGTCCTTACTCATGCAAATTCCAGCCTGCTCCGCCAGCCCTCCAGCTTCAATTGCTGAGGTGCAGCAGAAGCATCCTGACTATACTTCCAACACACATAGTACAGAGCTTCCCCAATTGTTTTACACTCTGCTGTGGCCATGCCTGAATCCATAGGGAAGATACCTCACCAAGCTGCACTCTGAATTCTGTGCAGATACAACAGAGTGTGTATTCATGAGCCTGGACAGAGAGCCACCAGAAATGCCTACACCATCGCAGCAGATGCTACATTTCTGCAGGAGGAGTATGTTGTGGGTTCAGGCTGTCAGCATCTCTTTGCCAAGAAATCCATGTAAGATGCAGCATGTCCAAGTATTCACTCCTGTTTGAGACCCCTTATCACCCTGCCCTAAATTCATCTTAGTCTTCCTCTCTGCTTAGGGTATGCGAGTGCATATTGGCAGTGTAGGTGACCTAGGCTTGGTGACAGCAGGAGCCAGAGTTTGGGCAAGGTGGTCCAGGTTTGCCTTGTCCCAGGACAGGCCAGGGAATTTTAAGATACATCCAATTGACTCAGAAACATACTTGCTTTCGGAAAAACGATCTTTAAATATGCATGTGTTGGATTTGGACCTCACCCAAAGTAGTCTGGCTGGTGCAGAAACACTAGGTCAGTTTGGTTAATGCAAAGCTGAACCAGGTCCACCGAGATCCTCACCTGGCTTTGAGACAGGATAGCTGCTGGTCCCACTGCTCCTGTAAAGCTTGTTATGACAAAAGACATAGCCATACAGAGGAATACGCTCCCTTCTATGTACTGCTCACCTGACTTTTGAAGACCCAAATACTTCTACCTGCAAGGTCTGCGTGGCTTGGCTGTAACCCTTTTGGCAAGCAAGTACCTTAGGCCTTGTTGAAAACCAATTTTCTTTCTCTTTTCCACCCACTGCCTTGTCTTATAAGTCAGACAATGCCTGAAAAAAACGTGAGTGAATTTTTGGTGTGTGTTTTTTGTTTTTGGTGACACAGTAGACTGAGTATAATAATTAAAAAATCAAATAGAAATAAATTTTAATATTGTGCAGAGTGCTTTTAGGCCACCTTCAAAGATTCTGTAATGCTCCATCTCCTCTGACTTAGCCAACAGCATGCTTCATTTACTTTCTTTGGAGTAACAACTTGGGCCTTACTCCTCCATTTCATTGGCAAAGCTGAAACAGTGATGCAATTCAAATTGAGGCATCTGTTTTAAATGATGCTGCAACAAAGCATCTCTGCTATAAAAAAGTTACAGTGAATTAGGGAGGTAACTTCTCCATTGAGGGAGTAACACAGCCAACAGAAGTTTAGGACCTGGAATTGGCTCCAGCACAGCCAGCTCTAAAAACTTGATTGTTGCTCTCTGTAAAGACCTGACCATTCAGGAAAGTGTCTCCTTTCTAAACCTGGCTCTGTCAAGCATGTGACATTTAGGAGTTTCTAAACTCTTGTAGTTTCATAACTTTCTCCATTATTTGAATCCCAGAGGTCCTAAAATCTATGACTCACTTTGTCTTACCCTTTTCTCCTCATCCTTTTAAAGTGAGAAAATTAATATAATCATATATCCATAAAAATAATATAAAAATAAAAATCATGTATCCATAAAAAATCATATAAACATATATCCACCTCCACCCAAGGCTGCCTCTGGATGCCCTTGTCCCACTTTAAAATCATTTGCATGTAACCACTGATCTCTTGTGGCTTTCCAAACTCAGCAGTCAGGTCAGCAACAAAACTTCCAAAGACAGTACAACCAGTAACACCCAATAAAAATAGCCATATGAAGCGCTTTCTTTGATGCATGCTGCTGCATGCTTGGGAGAAATCATTGGGAAAATGGCCTGCACCAAACTGTTTGCTTCCTCCCTATCTTCTTCAGAAAATTTCTTTAAGATTTGAAGGGTGCCAGTAGAATACTTCCCTAAACTAATCTGTAATGCATCTTGACCTTGAGCAACAAACTTGAGAGTTTGTCTCTATTACAGATTTTGAAGATGAAATGAAAATTGCCATTTGTTGCTTTATCCTCAATATTATGTTTCAGCAGCTCTTCTCTGAAGCTACAAAGATGGTTAGTATCCAGCTTCAGTTCACTGTCAGGAGCTAAACCTACCATGTTCCTTACATGAACTATACATTCTGTACACTTAAACTTTTTTGACCTTGCAAACACCTCCATTTTCTCCATTTCCAGAGAAAGGGCAGGATCTTTGCATCTTTTAAACATGGTCCTAAAAAGTGCAGAATGAAGCTCTGCTCCTAGTCACATTCACAAAAAACAAGATGATACATTAATACAAGTGAAGCAACAGAAGGGATACTCACATGTATCAACTTGGCTAGCCTTTTTTTTTATCCCCAAATTACAGTCTAGGAAACAAAGTTTTTATTTTATCAGTAGCACAGGATTTATAAGAAAGGAATCCAAAGCTATCCTGTGACTGTGATTCACTTTCCTCAGCGTATTACCATGAAAACCATAAATGATGCAGTAACTGCTAGTCAAAGGTTTGTCATAGAGTCCACTAAGTAATTTATACACCCAGGTCTGCATTTTATAGTAAATGGAAGCAAGGAACTGTGAGAAACATGTAATAAATACTGTTGGGGAGGGAAAAACAGAAAGAAAGTAAAAGGAGTAGTTAATCAGCGTTGGTAAGTTGACCACACATCTCAAGTGTACATAAAGCATTTGGGAAAGTGGGCTGGAGAGGAAGCCTTTTCTGGTAGAAACACAGGAAGTTTTATGACATGAGAAAGACCCCTCCACTTACCAGACTCTGACAGAAGTACTAAACATGTCTGCAGCTGGAAGTGGAGGTATGGAAGTGGCCATTAATTGACAGAGGTAAATACAGGCTGCATAGAGCTGGGCTCTGCACTGAGCCACTAAGAGCAGCAGTGGGCAGAATATCAAAACACAGAGAGCTCAGGGTAGGACTGCTCATAAACCATACTTCTTATTGAGGACTAGATTTTAAAAGAATGGTTAACTATGGAGCCCAACAACAGCTGGAACCTGGGGAAAGATTTAATAAAGCAAGGGCAAAATAGGCAAAGGCAGGGGGAAACAGCAACTAGCATTTTAAGATCTTGCTTAAATCCTTTGCAGGGCAGAACTATTGTGCAAAGATGCCTGCATAGCGTGCCATACCAAGACTGTGCAGCTATCAGGGAGAGATGCTGATATTTTAAATAAGCAGCACCAGCAGAGGACCTTGTGTGATGAGGGGATATTTAATGTAAAGGGCCATTGTTTGAGCACAAGTTCTAATGCAGTGTCTTTTCTCTCTGCAGCATGGTATTATCTGGAGAATTCCTGATGACAGACTCACATTTGCTGTCTTGCTTTCCACTGTGAAAAACCACAAAGGAAAAGCTATGTAGCAAACTGCTTTGGCTTGCCATTTGTTAAAAAGAATGCAGATCCCTCTGCTGCACAGGCACCACCTCTGGAATAAAAAAAAACCCCAAAAATATTCCTGCAGCATACTAAGAAATCCCCATGAAGTCAAACAGGAGGTTCCCAGAAGTTCAGAAGGCAGGCATTACCTCTCCTCAATTCTGACTCTGAAGAAAAGAGAAGTTTTGATACCCTTCAGCAACAGAATGTGATCAACAAGGATGCAACAAGCAACAGTTTATTTGTAGAAAAATCCTTTAAAATTTACTACAATGTAAGATTAAGGAAAAAATAGTCTTAATATATGTACATACAATATATATAAACAAACACTTATCGCACCATGAAAATTACATGCTTTTTAGAACAGAGAATGAATCATATTCCCTCATATCAATTTTAAAGTTATCACTGCAAGAAACCTTGCTTCCTTTTTTTTTTTTTTTTTTATCCCCATCAAAGTTTTCAAGTACAGGAAGTAAGTAATGCAGGATCTAATAGTAGAAAACCTTTGTTATACACAAATTACAACTGACAGCTAGACAATATTATTTGTAGTATCCAACACTTGTGTTTTTGAGCTCTATTATAATGATATGAACTTTTACCTGAGGTGCATGGAAATAACGAAGCATGATAATTGGCAAGTTTAAGAGATTTTCACATTATGATTTGACTTTAATTGAAGTTGATTAGGTATCACATCTATACCTGTAGTACTGGCACAAGAATGCTCTGCGTGAGTCATCACCAATGACTTAGAAGTGCAGGAGAAATTAACAGGCAAGCACCACTTGCAATGAAAAGCATGCAGACAATTTAAGTGAAACAGAGGTAGCATGTTCTTGTAACTCCAGCAGGGTCATTCAAATCAACTGCACTCTCCCTTCTGCAAAAGGCACTCACTTTTTCAGCTAAAAACAATGCGCTTAAGTTTGGTCAGACTGACCACAAAATGGTGGATTTCTCCCCTTACAAATATAGAAAAATGTTAAGCAGAGAACACAGTTAAAAGGAAAAAAAAATAATGTAAGGAACATACACATATAAGGTACCATGTGCTATTCCTCTCCCCCTAACTTTTATGGGAAGAATTATAGAAAACAGTTGCAGTACATAATCCAAAAGTTAAGACTTTCCAGTTGAAATGGCAGTATTAAGCAGCACATTCTCAATCAGAAATAGTTTTAAACCACCAGAAGTACACCAGTCTTTTTAATAAAGAGCAACAATTCACAGTTAGGAGTAGTAAGTTTATGCACATAAAAGGTGGTGCCAGAGAAGGATCCTCTGATGCAAAAGCTCATAAATTAGTATGCACTGTAACTTTTATACTGTATCTTTTATCCTTTCTGCACTTTGAAAGGCTGCCCACAAAAAACACCTCTTCTTACCGTGACACTACAGAACTAATCGAGTTATAAGATGTTCCACTGTTGCAACTGGAGGCATAAGCCTCTTGACCATTAGCATCTAAATTAATTTTAAATACAGAAGATGCTTTCAGTAGGAAATCTGCTGCATCTCTGCGACCTAATTCTCTCAGCTTAGACATTAGTATGCCTACAGTGCTGTCAGGTGCATTACTCCATTCCTGCAGAAGGGCATGAACTGGGCTTGAGAGAAAATAATTTTGTGTTCCATTATTTGTATTGTACTTTGCAACAAGGTCAGGGAGGCCCAGGTTCATGGCAAGAAGGCACCAATCTTTGCCCATTGGATCAGGTGGATCCAAAAGTCGACTTAGTTTTCTCCTGGTAAGTAGATTCAGATCAGAAACATGAATATCCATTCCTAGGCTTCCCTGGGAGTAAACATCAAGACACCCAAAACACAGTATACTGCTAAAGCTCTCTTTATATCCCCCCATAGTGTTAGTTAATGATGTCTCCTTTTGACTCTGCGCACGGAAAAAGTCTCTAGGCTGGTAGACCATTACTGGTTCATGATGTTCCCTCAGTTGCTGAGGACTAAGGTAATATTTCCCGGTCAGAAGACCTGGTAAGGTTGTGGCTATTAAGTTATCAATGGTGCTGCACACAGAATCCAGAAGTAAACAGCACTTGATCTTCTCTGTTTCCAGTCCTCTAACTTGAACCTCTATACCCTGCCCATGGTTGACCAGCAGCACTAAAAGCTCAGCTCCTCGATTCATAATCTTTGATCCATTTACCCACAGACGTATATCAGCATCTCCCTCTGTGCTCTGCTGATGAATCCACCTGCAGAGATTCACCTGAACTTTATGAAAAATTCCACAAGGAAATGGGGTAAGATGTTCCACAGGAACGATTCTAACACCACCATATATCAGCACTTCATCCTCCTCATCTGTCCAAGACCTGTGGAGATTGTCAGTCTTTATAAGAGCAGGAATATCCACCATCGCTCCACTGCTAAGGTCCCTTGCACAAATATCCATGGCATCCAAAATCTGTATCAGTTCTTCCACGTCACTATCTGTCACCAGACGCTGGATGTCCTCTATGGTGTACCGACCTCTGTAGTGATGGAGAGCTTTTGGGTTCTCCACTGACAAGATTTTTCCAAGGACATTAGAACAGAGCCAGCGAGGATCCAGAAGCACAACATCTTGGACAGTTTCACTCTGCATAATGTTAATCTGTTTATAAATATGAAAGTTACTGTTTACATCTTGTGAAGTACAAGATGATAGCCCACATTCTCACCTTCCTAACAGACTGACCGAACAGTTTGATTAACACTGCTCACAGGAAAAAAAACAATAGTGCATTTAAATATTTGCCAAGTACTGAGAACTAAAACCAGATCTTGCTGTTATTTTACACTAGTAATGAAATGATTAGAGCCCAACAGCTGGAAAGCCTAGTCATGCCCTGCAAGCTATTTATGCAAAGGTGTTATCCTACTACTCTTATTTCTAATGGACATATATAGATCTTTCATGTGCAGTGAACATTTCAGTGAAGCTAATAACATAATGATCCTTTCTGGGTATTTTATATTCTTTCAACTATAGTAATAAACTCTAATTCTTCCTGTCTCAAAGAGATTACATTGAACAAAATAGAAGCCACAATATCTATAATGATAACAGAAAGCATTAATAAGCATTCTGTACTTCTCATGATGTCTTAAGAGGAAGAGAAAAAAACCAAACAACTTTAGACATTTGCTTAAACTTATAAAGCAATATTCTACCAGAACAGTATCTTGCAAATAAAGAGATGGAATTTAGATAAAAATACTTACTTCTCCTATGCTATGCAACTGCTGTGCAATATGCCGTAGGTCATTTTGGCTTGCTAGGGGATTAAGGTGTTCCTGTACATCATACACAAACTGCTGCAAGGACATCAGCTGGTTGGGTCCATTAATTTTTCTCCAGCAAGGCAGTGTGGAGATTATTTTCTCACACAGGTGAGTCATAGGTGGGCAAGTCTTAGAAAAGCACAGAAAACATCCATTTGAGAATAGTGGTAGTATTTTTTTTTTTGTTTTAATGGAGGTGTGATGCATTCATAATGAATATTCAGATCTAAAGAGTTCCCTTTGTGCTGGACCCTTACTCTTTCATCTGGCATTCACTTGCTGTAAGACCTACCTACCTTTTCTTAAAAAAGTGAATTGCAGAAACCAGTTTTTTCACTGAAATAAGCAAATTTTCCAAATATCACCATGAGCTGCTGTCATGCATCTATAAGTTAATGCTTATTTCTGAAATGATCAGAATTTATTCAGAATCTGTACTCATTAGTACACATGATCATTTTACTTCAAAACATGAGACAGCAGGGTATTAAGTAAGAAGCAAAAGTGGTACTTTGATTTAGTGATTGCCTCAGACTTCACTGATGCCGTCTTGCTACATTTTCAAGCCACAGCCTCCGCTTCTTTGCAGTAAATCCCTTCAGATTTCAAGCTAGTGACAATAGCTATAATAAAGCTTTCTTAGTGAAAAAAAGCTTACAAAATCAAGAGACCATCAGGAATGTAAAATAGGCTGAATTTTGCACAAATCCAAATATTTTCATCAACCCACAGAATTAACTCAGTAATACATACACTTTTAATCAGTTACAAAAAAATACATTTCAAAAGTAGCTGCAGAAAATCTCATTGGTTTGTAACATAATATTAATCCATTTAACACAGGCTACAAAAAATTTGACTTGGTCACACTTAGGATGGAAGTCCCTATGGATTCATGGTGAAAACATCAAATCATGGCTACACTTTACCTTTAGTCTTACATGCATATACCTACTCGCACAGATACAACTGCAAGCAATATTTTTCAATTAAAAATGCAGTAAAAGGTTAATACATATTCAGTTTACATATACATATTTGGAATTATTTTTCTAACAGTTGAGAAAACTGTTCTACTCTGGTGGGTTTTTAGTGAAAAAACTTATCTCCCTGAAATATATTTATAATATATTTCTCTCTTTCTCTGAAATACTATGCTGTATGTATGTAATACTATGCATATCATGATTAGAAAAACCAAAAAAAGAGGGGGCAGTGCTGAAATCCAATCACTGCCAACCAAAAACCGAAACTGTGACTTTAAACTGAAATATCAAATTGTTTCCTTTCAACAGAGAGTATTTTGGTCATCTGCTTGAAACAGCTACTATTTGCAAAATACCGACTGAATCTTTGATGTCAAGGGCTTGCTTATCACAAGACCTGTCAAGTGTGTGGCTTAGAAATTGGAAAACAGTGGTTTCTGTATGTTTCATTGTTTTAAGTTTGAAATTTACAGTAGATTAGTACACAAGATGTTCACATTTTGGCTGATGCAAGTCAGATCATTAGACACTACTTACAGAAATTATCTGGCTTCTTATTTCTTGCAGGTGATTTCGGAGAAGCTTCATATCTTTAGACCCAGATGCTCCAGCATCCAGGACAAATAACTTTTCTGAAATTTGCAAATCATTTCCAAATCTAAAGGAAAATAATTATTAACTTAGCCCCAAATCTGTTATATTTCTTAATACAATTGTACTTCCATCTTAAATTATACTAGAGTTGTTTTCCTCAAGGAATTATGAAGTTCAAGTAATGATTATGCTGAGATATTTTATAAGCACAGACACTGTAGCTGCTGTATAATTTTCCTGAAAATAAGCAGAGATATTAAGAGAAAATCGTTTTCTCTCAGGATGAAGAGTGACTATGCATAAGAAAACTGTAACTACACAACATGACTTTTAATTACAAAATGAAACATTTTACTAGAAGAGATTACAGGAATTTATTCTTTTTAAAGTCTTAAAGTCTGTTGCTTGCTTTCTTCTCACTTTAAATATTTTAGTAGTCATTGCTGTTAACAGCTCTCTTTCTCACTTCCTTCTGACTTTCCAACCACACAAACCTGTTTGCCTAGCTCTGGACAGATTTGCATTTAAAAGGATTTCAGCACCAAAGATAACACACAGGTATTTTTCTACTGGTTTATTTCAATTGATTAAGATAATTAATTAAT